GCAGTGGGAGCCCCCCGCGCCGGCGCCGTCGAGGCCGCGGGCGCCCCATCAGGTGCCCGCCGCCGCGGCAAGCATCGAAGAAGACAAATCGGCACAGAGCTTTGCGGAGCCCCTCGGAGGAGCAGGAGGTCGTGAGGATTCAGAGGCCGCTGCCCTTGCCTCGTTTTCCTTGGCTGGGGCCTCACGTGGCCCCCGTCGCCACGGCTAGATTCGCTGGTATTCTCCCAGAGTGATACGTCCCAAGATGACCAAGTGGTTGTCCAGGATCTCCGACATCCCCTGATGCCCCACGCCAGCTGCAAAGACGAGGGCCGCTGGATGCTCGTGGCAATCCCCAGGAACGTATCCTGAGGTCGTGAGCCAATCTTATCATGACATCATTCCTTCCCTAGGGTCCGCGTGGGTGTCTTACCCCTGTCGCCGAGCCCCTGGCGCGCTCCGCGCGTGGAGGAGCCGACCAGCTCCGAGGCCAGCCGGTGACGCGTAGAAGTGGCCTATCGCCGGGGTGACCTCCTCCTCCTCCTCCTCCTCCTCCTCCTCCTCCTCCTCCTCCTCCTCCTCCTCCTCCTCCTCCTCCTCCTCCCCCTCCCTCTCCCCCTCCTCCTCCTCCTCCTCCTCCTCCTCCTCCTCCTCCTCCTCCTCCTCCTCCTCTTCCTCCTCTTCTTCCTCCGGAGCGGGCCTCTCGGATTTGGGCTTGCCTCGGCCCCCCGGAAGCCGCGCACCAAAGGTCGCTCTCGCCTGGGGTCGCTCTCTGCGCGTAGCCGGCCCCAGGGTGGAAGAAGCCACGCCTGTATGAACAGAGGTCACGTTTCTGAGTTCCGCGCGGATTGATCGGATCTGCGCTGGGGCCCCTGGCTGCGCCTCCGGCGCCGCACTTGGCGCCCGCACGGACCTTCGAAGGTCAATGTCTCTGCCGTCTTCTATTCCTCCGAAGATGTGCTTGCGGGCCTCCGAACGCGTACTCCAGACCTGCGATGTCTAGAGTTGTCCAACCCCAGGTCCCCAGGAAATCCGACCTTTTCTCCAGGGCTGGTTTTCCCCAGGGGACGACCTACACAGTGTTTTGGTGATTCCGTGGGCCGTTCTCATTTCGACTTCGCTTTTGCAGCAAATGCGGATTAGAGACAAGGCGAGGGAACACAAAAGCAACACGAGAACCACCATTGTTTTGGTCGAGCCCTGCCTGGTCTTTCATCCCGTCACCTGTGGGGGCGCGAAAAAATATGCGCAAAACTGGCAAAACGCGATTGCAAACCCGAAGCAAAAACAAACACTCGAATTTGGACGGAAATTTATGTCAGATGATCGCGCCGCGCGCGCCGCGGTCTGGGCCCGCAGGGCGGCTGCTCTCTTCTCCAAGGTGCGCGGCATGAGGGCTCCCAGGGCGCGAGGATGATCGTGCGCAGCGCCTCCCTCCTCCCTCCTCCCTCCTCCCTCCTCCTCCCTCCTCCCTCCTCCCTCCTCCCTCCCTCCTCCCTCCCTCCTCCCTCCTCCCTCCCTCCCTCCCTCCCTCCCTCCTCCCCGGGCGCGACGCTCGGAGAGCCAGGTGGCCTGCAGTGTGCCCGCACAGTCTGTAGACGAAAGCAGCCAAAGCCCTGGGTGGTGGGCGAGGGTGCTGGTCGTGGGTTTGGTCTACATACACCACGCGAAATGGTTAAGAAATCATGGGTTAAGAAATTCATGGTCTCAGAACTTGAATAAAAACCCAACATTTCTATCAAAATCTTAGGATTTACATTGAAACGTTAAGAATAATCGAGACTCTGGCCGAAAACTTAGGTTTTCTTAAGCAGCGCCTAAGGTGTACCCCCTTGGGCTTGGTCTACATACACCTTAGGCGAAGCTTTAGAAAACTTAAGTTTTCGGCCAGAGTCTCGATTCTTCTTAACGTTTCCATGCAAATCTTAAGTTTTTCATAGAACTGTTGGGTTTGTGTTCAAGTTCTGAGACTATGAATTTCTTAACCCATGATTTCTTAAGCATTTCGCAGGGTGTACATACCCCCTTTGGGCTTGGCTTTTGTATATTGAGCGTGGCCCCGTGGGGCGCAATCTGACTGGGGCAGCGGGGGGTGGTATATACAAGAAGAGCTCGAACACACAGGGCCCGTGCCGATCCGCCCGAGTCGATGCGACATCGGTTCTGTCCTGGCCGATCAGCATCGATTCCGCTATGTCGGCGATCCGATGCGGTCCAATTCTTGCACGGGCGGTGCTGTGCAGTTTGGCGCGGCCGATCCGTTTCGATTTCGATTCCGTGCCGATGCAGCCCGATCCGATGCGCAGTTCGATTCGATCCGACTTACCGATGCGATGTTGACTGGTTTCGATCTGGGTAAAGCCATCGGAGCGACGAAGGCAAACGGTTCCGTCTTTACAGACATTGGCGAATAAACGCCCTCGGCTCCAACCTAGCGTGCCGCGCTGGCGGCCCGCGTAAGCCACCGCATCGCGTAAGATCGCTAGGCCCTCCCGCATAAGACCCACCACCACCACCATAAGTTGAAGGGGGGAAGGAGGAAGACGAGGAGGAGGAGGAGGACGAACAGGAGGAGGAGGAGGTGGAGGAGGAGGAGGAGGACCCTCTCCCCCTCCAACTTATTGTGGTGGTGGTGGAAAACAGGCCCATCATCAGCTGAGGCCGCCTTTTGGCAACTTTGGGCACTCGCTGGCCGGATTTGTCCTCTTCCCCCGCAGCAGTGGCCGCCCCACGGGGCCCGCCGCGCCCGACCCCGGCGAAGACCTACCGAGCGGCCTGGAGGGCGCGGAAGGCCTCCAGGCTCGGGGACTCGCAGGGGGGAGGGGGATCCCAAGGTGGGGCTCTTGGCATCGCTCGGACGTGTGCATTTTTCCTTCGGCGAGGACCATCGAGGAGCATCCTTGATCATTTGGCGAAACTGCCACGCACGAAACCGAAAAAAACACTGGGAATGGACGTCCGAGCGATGGCCAGAGCTTGGGGAGCGAGCTCAGCTGGATGCTCGCATTCGGCGGCGAGCCCAGGGGGGGGGAGGAGTGAGAAGGGGCGGGCCTTCTCAGAAGGCTCGGAAGCCCCCTGGCCTTCTACGCCCTTGCTTCCCTAAGACGCCGAACGCGTTTCAGAAGTCCGGAGCGCTTCTGAGCTGTCCCGCCGCCTTCTGAGAAGGCCTTCTCCTTCTCACCTCCCCCCCTCGCTTGCCGCCGACACATGTCTTGCTTCCAGGGCATTAAGAGAGCGATTATCCTCTAACCCCACCGCTGTTCCTATCCCACGCTTCCGTCCCTCCGAGAGGCGTGCGTGGTGGCCGTGCGGCGCGGCGCGCTGAGCGAGTTGCTGCTTTGCGTGGCGTGCGTCGACGAGAAGGCGGCGCTGCTGTGCAAGGCTTACGGGCAGCTCGAAGGGGAAAATACAGCATAACCATACAGCGGGGACCCATGCCAAGAAACACCCTGCCTCCAGGGGCCTTGGGTTTCTTGGATTTCGATGATTTTGCTATGGAGAGCGTGACGCTCCCACACCAAAATCAATGAACGTCCTGGGGTCTCAGGGTTGGGTTTCTTGTGGAAGGTTTCTTGTGGACTGGCCTCCACTGTAACCATACACTTTCGGAGCCCCGAGTTGACTTTTTGGGATCTGCGCTGGGGCCCACCTGGCGGCGCCTCCGGCGCCACCCTCCCACGAGGGCAATGCCGCGGGGTTTCCGGGCCCAGCTTTCCGATGACGTGAGTTTTGGCAGATTGGGAGTGTTTCTTTACTGCCTACTTATGGGGCTCGTTGTCAGCTTGGGAGCACCAAAAATGCATCTGGGGCGCAACACTACCCCCGGGAAAGGAATCCGGAGCTCTGGGGCAGCGGACGGAAAGGCGGGCGACTAAGACGACGAGGACGCCAACGATCATGTCGAGGCAGACGAGAAGGACGACGAGGGCGACGCTGACAACATCGACGAGGTCGACGCCGACGACGATAACGACGACGAGAGCGACACTGACGAACGCGACGACGACCCTAGAGAGCTCAGAGGGCAACGTAGGGGGTTTTCCTCATCCCACTCCCCTCTTCCTCCTACTCCTCTTCCTGTGGCGTTGCTCAGCCCTGCGTGCGCCCTCCCGCCCAACTCAAGCGAGGGATGGGCTCGGGGGGGGCGCATCGACCCTCCATCGCCTATGCATCCCCGAGGGGGACCCGACAGTCCACCCCGCCCTTGAGCCTGCGGCTCCGTTTCGGGGGCCCATCGCCGATCAATATGTGTCGGAGGCGGACAGACCTCCTACCCTGACACGTCGATTAGTGAATTGGCTGTTTTCGGTTCGCGAGAGGGCGTCGCGGCCCTCATTTTTGCGGGTCCAGGTCCGTCGGTTTCGGCCCCAGGCCAGTTTCACTGAGGGGAGGTTTACTAGAGGGAGGTTTGTCCACCGCCGAATGTGATGCATCGCTGATGCCAGGTCGATGCTCTTCCCCCCTTGCCCCCCGCTAACGTTCCCCCTCAAAGGCCGGGCTGCTCTTCGGGGAGGTGCTGTGCACGGGCGGCAAGAGCCTCCAGGAGGACCCGAGGAGCATCGAACAACAAAACCGCGACAAACGCAGAAGCTCTCGGAGGTCCGCGCGGAACTTTGGAGTCGACGCCGGACTCCCCCCCCCCCCCTGGCGGCACCCCCGGCGCCGCCCCTGGCGCGCTCCGCAGCGCCGACCCGAACCGCGCGGATTTCCGAAAGTGTACGTCCAGGATGTCGTTCTCAATCGTCGAGCGCACACACGCACACGCGTTCGCACGCCATTGTCACCATGAACAAGATCACCGTCTCGTCATCGGCATCATCACCAGCGGCTGCAGCATCGTCACCATCATCATCAGCATCATCATCAGCAGCAGCAGCATCAGCATCAGCATCAGCATCATCACCATCACCATCATCATCACCACCACCATCATCATCATAAGCATACTCATCATTCTCGTCAGTAACTTCAACATCATCGTCGCGGCAATTCAACGCCAGCATGCCTCGATGAATGCGTAAGCATGTGTCGCCAGCATGCGCCCCGAGCAGTTCCTTACTTCTTGTGTGGGTGGAAGCCATTGGGTCGGGGTCTGGATGTGTGGTGCAAGCTCTGGAGGGCAAGCCGTGTGGTGCGATCGCGACATGCAAGCGAGGCCACGAGGCGCCCCCGCGAGGCCACGAGGTGCCCTCGGCCCTTTCGAGAGGCAGGCTTTGTTCGGCGAGCGGGTTTTCGGAGGTTCGTGTGGGCCTCTTTGGGTCTGCGCTGGGCTCCACCCTCGCGTAGGTCCATCTCGGCCTTGTCGAAAGGCAGGCTTTGTTCGGCGAGCGAGTTTTCGGAGGTTCGCGTGGGTCTCTTTGGGTCTGCGCTGGGCTCCACCCTCGCGTGGGTCCATCTCGAGCCGATCGATCCGATTCGCAATCGACGTCGGCCGGCCCGACCGACTCGACTCCGAGATGCCGAGGACCCGGTGCGGCCCGATGTCTGCACGGTGCTGGTGTGTGTCTTGGGGCAGCCGATCCGATTCGGTTTCGGCTCCGTGTTGATGCGGCCGAGCCGACGCACATCTCGACTCGGGCCGATTTGCCGAGGCGATGTGCCGATTTGCCGAGGCGATGTGCCGCCTCATCCTGCCCTCCCCGCACCCCCTGCCTTGAGCAGAGGGACCGACCTCCCGGCACTCCTGGAGGCCTACCACGGTGTGCTGTCAAAAGCCAGAGAGGGTTCTGATATAAAAAAGAATGTTCTTAGAGCGTGCGCCCGATGTGTTAAAACGGCACTGTATCAGCGAGAAGTGTGAACGTTATGGTGTTCATTGTTTTTCCGATCGGCGCGGGCCCTCGCATCACCCCCTTCCCCCCCCCCATGGAGTAGATCTTCGTTGCTTTCGGCGCCTGTTTCAAGCAGGTGGAGCCTCCCACACAGGACGCACTGTAAGCAGAGGTCCAGAGCTAGACCCCCCCGCCCTTCCCCCTCCCTTCCGCCCAATGTCGAAACGCCGAATAAGAAAACGCTCACAATGTTCTAATAATTTTTCGTGCAAGCCGCAGAAGGTTTTCAGAACATTCTCTGGCGGGCACATCGACGTAAGCCGGGACGCTTCGCTATATTGTTTCCCTGCCCCCCTGTAGGCGAAGCGCACCCCCCGAGGCGCCGCCAGGGGTACCCGCTGGTCGTTGAAGGTAGGTATTCTTGGATTCCCAGGTCCTGATCCACTTCGAGCGCCTTCCTACTTCAAGACATGATCGCGTTGTAATTAACATCAGGACGGCAAGTTTTTCACTATTTTCGGCCCTTGGGGGCCCTAGCCAGTCCCCAGGACCGTCAAACATCTACTCAGGCGCACGTATGGGTTCCCAGGTCCTGATCCACTTCTAGCGCCTTCCCACTTCAAGAATTGGCCTGGTCTTGATGCATGTTGTTCTTCTTGTGGAGGGCGTGGGCCCAATCGACTGTGTCTGCCTTCCTGCTTCCTGTCTTTACCGACTTCTGCCGACCTACGTGCAGGTGGGGGAGCTTGGCCATACGCTGGCCCAAGAGCTTCCCGCGGGCCTTGAGAGCTAGCGGGTTGCGAAACCCATGGGGTTTGAAGGATTTCGGCATGCGCGCGCGACGACGCGCGTGCGTGCACTCCGTCCCACTTGTTGTAGTGGATTCTTGCGACAGCTCGCGCGCATTGGCGTTCGAACGATTCCAACATGCGCGCGCGAAGCTATTTTGGTAGCATTGTTCATGTTGAGAAACTAATTAGAGCGCGTGCGCACGCTCTTCTGTTTGAGCGTCTTGTTGCGAAACCATGTTTTTCATTTGTTTTCGGGGCACTCGATTTTGAAAGCTGTGCGAAACATGGGGTTTGTTTGAAGGATGTTGGCATGTGCGCGCGACGACGCGCGTGCGCACTTTGTCCCAATTGTTGTAAGAGATTATTGAAAATTATGATTTTCTATAAACGAGTTCGCGCGTAAAGTATTTTTTGACAGGGATGCGGGTGGGCCGATACCTACACGACCGCTCTGCGGGCGATAAGGAGGTTTGGGGGGATTGAGATCATCAAATGCCAACCCTGACTGACCTCCAGCCTGTCACCTTGATCTCATCTCTTTCCTGAATAAGATAAGATGGGTTGAATAGGAAGACATGGATTGGATAAGATAAGATGGATTGGATTGGCCCGCTGCAGGCGCAGAAACAAATGAATTGATGGATTGGATGGGGTGGGATAAGATAAGATGGTGGGACAAGATGGGTTGGATAAGATAAGATGGATTGGATTGGACAAGATGGCTTGGATAAGATAAGCTGGATTTGATAAGAAAGCCCGCCGCAGGCGCCGACAAATGAATTGATGGATTGGGTTTGGTGCATTGGATTGGATGGGATAAGATGGATTGGATAAGATAAGGTGGTTTGGATTGGAAGAAATGGATTGGATAAGAGAAGATGCATTGGATTGGCCCGCGGGAGGCGCAGAAACAATTGAATGTATGTAATGGGTTGGGTGGATTGGATTGTGGGATAAGATAAGACAAGATTGGTTGGATAAGATAAGATGGATTGGACTGGACAAGATGGATTGGAGAAGATAAGCCGGATTGGATAAGAAAGCCCGCCGCAGGCGCCGAAAAAAAATGATTATGAAATTAGAGACATGCGCTAGCGCCGGGACGCCAGGGACACCCGGGACACCCGGGACACCGCCTGGCCCAACGGGGACACTTCCCGGCCACCGGCGGACGGGGAACGGGCTTTCGCTCGTACTGGCACCCGGGACACCTGGGACACCGCCCGGCCCAATTGGGACACCTCCCGGCCACCAGCGGATGGGGAACGGGCTTTCGCTCCTACTTCGGCCTAGCTACAGGAGGATCACGCGCAGCTTCGCCTCGCCCGCACGCACGACACGAACACGAAACCGAACCGATTTCCCGGTGGGGGGTCTCCGTTTCACTGCGATCTCACCCCCCAACTTGCGACCAGGATCGCCTGGGGTGGGACGGCTTCATATTTCGGATGGACGATGGGGCAGAATCGTATGTGAATTGCGATACGCAAAGGCGAACCATTAACCCCAATGAGGGGGCGATACGGCGATGACGAGGCGGCGACGGCGACCGCGGAGCCGCCACACCGCCACGCGAGCCCGAACGACGGGCGGCGACAAGGCGGCGACGCGGCGGCGGCTGCGACCATGGCGCCGCCAGACCGCCGAGCTGGCCCAGACGATGGGGGGCGACGAGGCGGCGACGGTGCGGCGACGGCGAGCACAGAGCCGCCAGACCGAGAGCGGGGAATGGTGCTTTAGAGAAGAAGTGAGATACCACACGTGCACGTCTGTCAGGGAGTCTCATGCGGGCCCCGCGCGCGCCGCCACGCGCGGGTCTCGAACTCCTTACAGAACCACTTGATTCAGGAGGAAAAGAAACACACAGACACAATTAATCTTCGATTTCCCAGAAAATATGGGAAAATATGGGAAGTGGGGGGGAAGACAAAAAACCCAAAAATATAGGAAAATATGGGGAATAGTTTTATTTGTGTGTATTTATTTGTGTGTCCTGGGGCCCCTTCATTGATGTCCGACACATGTCAAGATACAGTTCTGTACCAACATGTAAAACCTGCGTGTTTGTTTTAACTGTTCTGCATTCCCGCGCGCGCGCGCTTCGTCACCATGACCCTCGTCAGCGCCACCGCATCACCAACTTTATCGTCGTCGCCAATGCCCGCCATTGCCGCCGTCATCAGTCAATCACTTTCGTCACCTACGCATGGACATCATCATCGCCATCGTCCTCACCAGCATCGGCGCCGTGATTGGCCAAGCCGTTGTCATTGTCCTCGTCGCCACTGCCGTTGTCGACGACGCCATGGTGCCGCGCCCTCCTGGGTCACCGACTCGCAGTGGAACGCTCGCGCGCCAGCGGGGCTTGCGAGACGCGTTGGGAAAAGCCCATCGGTCAACGCCGCCGCCGTCGCGTCGGCTGGGTCAAACCAGGTGGCTGCTCTGCGCGCGAGCTTGCGCGCGCAAGCGCGACCGCAGACATGCCCCAGGCAGTGCCAAGGCGTCACCGCAATCGTGGCCGCACGGGTTGTGCAAAACAAGTTGCAGGTGGTTGTGTAAAAAAGATGGTGCGAGCAGTGGGGCTGATAATTCATCAGTGAATAGTCGTTAACGAACCACATCTTGCACAGCGTGTCTTCTTCTCGAAATTCCTGCCCGCGCGCACTTGCTGGGAACATGGGGCAACCGCGCGGTGTTATCAACATCGTCCGCAACCCGCCGTCACATCCCTCTACGCGGTGCGCCCCCGTTGATCCAGCATGCGCCCAGTGCCCGGACCCGTATCAAAGAACACCGCGTGGGCCACGCGCGCGCGCGCGCCGCAATGCGTGCCTTCCGAAATCTTCCCAACACCTTTGGTGTTCGACGCATTTGAAGATTGATTGTTTCCTGAATGGAATACATACGAGCACACAATCATGCGTTTTTTACAACAAGTTGATCCGGTTTCTTGCACTTCCTCGCGCGCACTTCACACCATCGCCATGCCAGCACCACCGCATCACCGCCGTTATCTTCATCGCCAATCGTCGTCATTGCCGCCATCGGCCGTCATTCACCTTTTTCACCGACGCATGAACACCATCGTCATCATCGCCGTCACCCGCATCGACGCCGTCATTGACCTGGCCGTTGCTATCGTACTCATCGCCACCACCATCGTTATTATGGTCATCGTCGCAGCCGTTGTCGGCGTCACCACGATACCGCGATCGCCCGGGTCACCGACCCCCAGTGAGTGCCCGCGCGCCAGCGCGGCTTGTGAGACCGCTTCCCATCCGTAAGTGCCACCGCGACCGCCTCGGTTGTGCCAAATCAAGTGGCCGTTCTGCGCGCGAGCGTGCGCGCGCAAGCGCAGCCGCCCAGATGCGCCAGCCAGTGCCAAGTAGTCATCGCAGGTATGAGTTGGGGACAATCAGTTACCTAATAGCACACACTACGTAGCTTGCACATCTACCA